ACCTTTTCTCTGTCTGTCTATCTCAGTCTGTCTCTGCCATTCAAATTCTCTCTCTCTCTCTGTTTGTTCCTGTCTATTTATCTCAGTCTCTGTTTCTGTCTCTCTTTCTCTGAATATGCAAGATGAAATTAGTTTGTGCTGTAGTGTTTAACAAATAAGTTTACATGAAATAAAATTATTTTCTCTTTGGTTCCAACAGACAACTGCAGTGACTGTATTCCAAGGGCTATCGTTTATTTTGATCTCTCACAACTATTCTACCTCTCCGATGTCCGAACACGATGGACTTCAGAGGGCTGTCATCGATGGTCTTAGAATACTTGTGGAGAAGTACAGTGGAATCTTTAACATTTTTTGCATGCTGTGTAGTTTTTTTTTTTTTTTTTGTGTGTGTGTGTATTTCCAATGAGAAGTTGGTTGGGAGTGGGATCTCATGCTTTTGTTTTGGAACTCCTTGTCTTGTGTGTCCGGACAATTGAGGACCAGTAGTACAACAAGGCTGCATTTGGAACCTCCAAAGCCTTCTGTGAGTGGGATCTCATGCTTTTGTTTTGGAACTCCTTGTCTTGTGTGTCCGGACAACTTGTGAGGACCAGTAGTACTCATTGCCCACAATCCAACCAGTTTTAAAGTAAACATTCACTATTCTATCATACCAGTGCCTTTATTTTACATGCTGCATAGGTTTTGTAACTTCTCTTATTCATAGGTAACTTACCTGCAATTGACAAACACAAAAATACCCTTTGTTAAGAATAATAAAGGGCCTGCAAGTGTCATTATATATATATATAAATGCTATTGTGATGTCATATCATCCTGCTCGCCCGGCTGCGAAGGAGGGGGAGAAAGAAATGGACTATTTGTCTGGACACCAAAGTAGGGGGTTCCAAACAGTCAAAAAAAATTGGCAATTTTGTCCAGCTTATTGGATGAGGATGCAGCATTAATGTAGAGGAAGGGATGAAAAGGTGAGTGTGAAAAAGGGAGAATGCAAAGACGAGAGAATTAAAAGACATTGATAGAACTGGTACAGATGATGGAATAGTTTTAATAGAATGATACTAAGGATGGAAGCAATAAATAAGATAACATTTGGAGACCCAAAGAAACAGAAGACCTAGAGAAGGAGAGACTAGAAGTGGAGGAAGAGTGAGAACTAGAAGAGATAGAGTGAGCAACTAGGGAGTGGGAGAGTGAAGGTTAGAGAGGCATATTGGCAGTGAACTGTTAAGTAGTTTTATTCCTGAACAGTTGGCAAAAGAATTAATAATAAGAAGAATGATAAGGGATAATAGTAGCTAAATATTGTTGCCTTGCTATTTCAGTGTTATTTTTGTGAACTTAAACCACTGCATATATTTTTGAACTAGTCATTTGTATTTAATACTTGATTACAGATATAACATTGATTGGAGGAAGTCTTATGTGTCAGTTTGTCTTATGGGTCAACTCTGTGAGCTCGTGAAGATACCTGGTATCTCTACACAGGTACTGATATGTCACTCCTTTGATTTTGATGATGCTGTGTTATCATTAATTTAGTCATGCGTTAATGAAATATTCATCTCTATGCTTTTAAGATTGATATATTTTGGCATATATACTTTGTGTTAATGGTGCATATTTTGAAATTACAGGTCAAAGTGGCAATCCTGAAAGCCATGAATTCATGCATAAATGGATTTATACCTCCTGTTATGTCCATGTTAGTTAACAGTGAGAGGATGGAAGAGAATAGCGTTGAATTGATGGGCAAGGTCAGTCTTGCAGTATTTTTGTTGTCTTATTTACGTTGTCTCTCTGATATGATTATGTTTTTGAAAAGCTGTGGCCATACTTTTTTACTTGTATGTTCATGTATGTATTTACTTATCTGTAAGGAATCTGAATACTGTCTGTTTGCTTGATTTCAGATTTTAACTATTTATTTGGGCGACACGGAGTGGGAAGTTCGGGATTCTGCGCTGGAGTTGCTCCTCACCTGTATGAAGATAGCCAAAGAGAGTAAGTCTCTCTCTCTCTCTCTCTCTCTCTCTCTCTCTTCTCTCTCTCTTCTCTCTATTCTCTCTCCTCTCTCTCTCTCTCCTCTCTCTCTCTCTCTCTCTCTCTCTCTCTCTCTCTCTCTCTCTCTCTCTCTCTCTCTCTCGTCTCCTTTTCTCTCTCTCCTCTCCGTCTCTCTCCCTCTCCTCTCCCTCTCCTTCCCTCTCATCTCCTCCTGTCTCTCTCTCCTCTCTCTCTTCTATTCTCTCTCTCCCTCCTCTCCTCTCTCTCTCCTTCTATCTTCTTCTCTCTGCTCTCTCCTTCTCCTTCTCCTTCTTCTCTCCATCCTCTCTGTTCCTTGCTCTCTCCCTCCCCTTCTCCCTCTCCTACCCCTCTCTTCTCTTCCTTCTTCTCCCCTTCTCCTCTCTGTGTCTTTTTAGATGAATTACAATAACTTACTCTTCCTTGGTTGGGTCTAATGCTTTTTTCTTAATAGATGACAATAGACCGTATCATATAACAATGATGTCATGATCAGTAATTCTTATTTGTATTTCCAGAATACCCATACTTTGTGGAGTGGCTGTTAAGATATAGATTAAATGATTCTCTAGGATGGCCCTTGAGGGTATGTTAGAGCCAGTGCATTAATGTCTTAGCAAACATCATTGAGATTGATAAGGTAATGAAGATATATTGATAATTTTCTTGTTATCACCAAAAGCATGTGCAGTAATTGCTCTTTTAGATTGCCCGTTTAATCTGTCGGATCCAGTCGACCTTCATTTCATGAAAAATGGAATGAGGACCAGGTGATGGGAATATGCTGTCATGAAAAAAATGGCTGGGGTGACAGGAATGTGCTGTCAGGAAAGAAAATTCTGATGGCCAAGTAATCTGTATGATTTGTTGTGAATGTGCAAAGCTCTCGGAGGAATATTAGACTCATTGGGCCCCCCCTAGATTGCCCATAGGACATTTTCAACCTATTTACGATGGGTGCCCCATATATGAGACACCCAGAAAAAAAAATTGCAGGGTGTCCCGCCAGTGTGACACTGCATCGGGGCTCATGCTCCAACTCAGCAGCGGGCTGCGGCTGGAGCACAGGCAGAGTCCGGGCCTGCCCAGCGCGCCGATTTTGTAGCTGCCCAGAAAGTTTTATTTTCGGCTTCAAATATACCGGTGTTAGTGGGTTAAGGGGCTCTTGCATTATTTCCACCCATAAAAAAGGGTGCATGACACCAGTTCCATGCTTAGGATCCTATTCCTGCCCACTATGATTGTCAGCACAGTATGTGTTACAAAAAGCAAAAAAGCAAAAAAATAATTACGGTATTACAGATGTAGAGTTTTAGATTACCTAGAGCAGGGGCTAGGGTAAATTAGATTCTTTTCATAAAGTGTTCTTGTCATGTAGCTATTGTTACCATTACACTATTCATAACAATTAATAATTGTAAAGACGACAGATACTGAATGAGGCCATGGAAATTATTTCATATTCATATTGGTCGGAGGCCACATAATGAAAAAGTTTGTGATCCACTAAGCTAGAAAGAGAGTATAAAAATAAAAACAGTCTGTTACCATCATGATACAGCACAAAAAATAACATGTACAGAGAAAAAAGCCTATACAGAGAAAGAGGTAATAATGTTGCAAAAGGAGCAGCAAGGAATCTTAATAACACTCAAGTTTTCATATGAGCTTTTCAAAGCCAGGATTTTATCTGAGACTTGAAGCACCTGGATCTAACAGGTTAAGAATACCCGAATGTGATGTTCAATAACTTGGTCATCGAAATTATTCAATAAAACTAAGTATTTTAAAATAAATTAGTTAATAAAACATGAATCAGGCACTGGATTCTGTATAAAAAAATCTGACATGAACATGCTGTCATTGGCTAAGGGACCAGGATGACGCAGACTTTCTGTCATGAGAATTTTGGCTGAACGCTTTGAAATTTATGCAGCAAAAGAAAATACCACTGCAAAGGGGTATCATGGGGCTTGTCACCACACAGCCTACAAGTCGTACACCCATCATAGTGGCTGCACTAGTAAGCTAATTTAATCAGTGAAGCATGGATCCTCCAAATTTAAAAAGAATATCTACTCTGTGCCCTTAAGTTTCTTTTTTTCAAATGTTAAATGAGCCCTTTCCTCTGTGCTTGTTGAAGTTTTCTTTTTGATAAATACAACAACAAAAGTAGAGTGTGATATCGTACATGTAAACGATATGACATATGTGATATTATAAACATTATGTGCTTAATCGACTACCGCCAGTATATTTTGAAGCCGAAAATAATAGTTCCCGGGTGGCTACAAAATCAGCGTGTGGGGCTGGCCCGGAATCTGCCCCCTGTGCCGGCCGCTGTCCGAGACAGAATCAGAACCAAAGCTCCGATCCAACGTCACACTGGTAGTGTTTATTTTTCTGGGTGTCTCATATGTGGGACAACCGTCGTAAATGGGTTAAGATGCAATGCAACAGTTATTCTGTTTCATTATTAGAGTGGATTTTCATCATAGGGTGTATTAGAATGTAAATATTTGCTATAGTCAAGTGTTATTTTTAAAATGTGGTGCAATGCAAGTCATAGATAAAATTGCAAAGGACAGTCTTTAGATAGTCACAGACAAAATCTACAACCACCTTGGAATCTAAGATTCATTTTTGTGTAGTCCTTAAATTTGTCAAAGAAAATTCTATGACCTTTCACAAATAATGTCCCTAGGTGTTAATATGATATTTAGAAAAGGAAAAAGGTACCAACCAAAATTGGATGCTGGTTCATCTTATGGAGTTGAAACTTTTTATAAAATCTTCTAATTATGTAGTATCTTCAATAATGATGTATGCTATTTGACAGATTATGTAAAATTATGTGCATGGATTACTTTCACTGCTTCCTAAATAACCTGATTTGATTATGCTTTATGTATATTTCTAACTTGTACTTGGACCCTGATCAGTTGATATTGATATCAGTTGATGATGAAACATATAGCCTGGTTTTTACACGAGTATCATTTGTTATGTGCTTATATAAGCATTATGAATATTTATTTTTGCTTCAGATTTATGTAAGGTTATAGTATTTTATAGTTTGACTCAGATTGTTTGCCCATTTATAGCTTAATTGTGAACCTCTCTTTTTATCTTCAATTAAAACACAGTGCTGTTATAAATATACTTTTCTCACTAATTCTCTGGCCCAGGATAGAATTTTCTTCACATTCTAGATCTCTTTATACACATCATTCATGATTGCTACAGTACAACATATCACAGATGTTCTCAACAGAAATCAACATCATCACAGTGCCATGAACTTGCAACCAAAGAAACTATCACTAGGAAAGGAGGCTTTCCATACAAAATATGCTCCTCCAAAGGAACGGTAAGGCAAAGAGCCTATAAACATTAAAAAGCTAACAAAGGCATGACTGACCACCTTCCAAGTCTTCTAACACAAAAGCTGAACTGGTGTGTTTTGACGTGTGTATGGTTTGTGCATTTTTTCTGTCCCATTTTAGGAAATCTAATACAATGAGCAGCATGGTCATTAAGACAAATCTCTATAAGAGTAGAGGTCATGGAATGAAATCTGTGATCGGATGTTTTTACAATCCACAGGTGGTTTTGCTTCTTTATGCTGGAATAAAGAAGCAAAACCTCTTAGGAGTACAGAGTAGATGAAAACACAACTGGAGATACACCAGGTTGACACCACCTCAAAAGGGGTGATAATGACTTAATCTCTTGTGGTCATTAATTTCATGTATTGAAAAAGTAGTGTGACAGAATAAATCTTATAATCCAACCTTGCATTATGATAGCAACTTAAGAACTCATTGGATATATCAGATTAACAGCTATACTAGCATAAAAGTTATTGTCTTTCCCTCTGAAAAGGTGTGGTCAGGTGAGTCAGCTCAACAATCATGGTGTTCATTTGTTTTGTTTAAGTGTCTATAGATAATATGGTAGAAGATATACTTACAAGTAATGAAAGGTAGGAAACTATAAGTATTTGTTAACTCAGTGCCTCCAGAGATGGCATACCCACTAAATTTTGTTTATTAATTGTCTTTACACATAGATGGCTCTGCAAGCACTAAGTCACCAATGAACCAATTATGAGTACTACCTATCTCACCTGTTTATTTTTTTTCTTGATATTTGGAAATATTTTTTGTATCTTATATTACTATTAGTAATGTCAGTAACACTATAACAATTATAATGTCTATGATAATAACAACATCATTGATATAAAGAGTATTAGTAAAAAAAAAAAAAAAATCCCACAGACTCTTGGAAAGGTGAAATCAGGTATGGTTGCAAAGTCTACTGATTGACTCCTCTACAACTGAGTGCTTGTAGAGCCTTATATGTGTGGAGACGTTTTACAAAATAATACAAAGATGAACACTACATTTTCCTGGCAATTATAGGTTGATTTGTATTTTACTACTTGACTTTTCTAATCTTTTTAAAATCCTGTGATAGTTGTTATTTATATTATTGTATAATATAACCATTCAAAGGGGAGCATGGCTGCATTAAATATTAATTGAAATGAACCAAACTTTGTGCTGCTTACTGTTAACTCTAATATCAGCTATCAATGGAACAGAATTCCAGAATTATATTTTGTTTCCACAAAGGAGAAATCTAGATTGTGTCTAACTGGAATGAAATAAATATTTGGGACCTAAAGCATTTAATTCTCTCTCTCCCCTTACTCTTCTCTCTCTTTCCCCTTTTTCTCATCTCTCCTCTTTCTCTCCTCTCTCTCCCCTCTCTCCTTTTTCTCTCCCTTCCTCTCCCTATCTTTGTCCATCCCTTCCTCAGTCTCCATAACTGATCTTGATTTTATTTTTATTTTCAAAGGTTTGGAATGAACTAGAAATGGAGAACCTTCCTGTCAGATCACTAGCAGCTGTCCTCACTGAAGGGGAGGCATCTGTCAGACGGTCTGCCATTAACCTGATCCAAGCTCTCTTCGTAGCGGGAAAATACGAGTAAGGTTTTGTGCACTACATAATGTATAGAGTCGAAAAAAGGTATCATTGTCCGCTCTTAATGGAGACTGTCATTCCTTTGCGAGTAATAGGAACAAATTTTTTACTTCGCAGGGATATGATGGTGAACACCATGGTTGTCCCAGTAATTCAGCATGCAGCAGAAGATACAGATGATGAAGTTCGGGCTGCATCTCTCGACTTTATCAGAGTCCATATACAGGGCAAGCTGAATAAAAGAGGGTTTTAAAATGTTATGAGAAGAAAAAGGATGTGTGAATGAAATAAGCCTCATGTGTTGTCTTTTGGTGCATGTGAAATAACATGCATTTGGTGTTGTTTTTTGTGGTATGGAAGATTTAAGATTTCAGTTATTTTGGAGCATAAGGATTTATGTTTGGGATACATTAGATAACTTATATTGATAGATATGGTATGTGATAGAAGGAAGTCATTGTTATTCTCTTCTTAGGAATGGTTGATGGAGAATTTCCAATGATGACCTTCAGTAAAGGGAAAATTACGAGGTTGAACAAGGATGAAGTAAGAAATCGCATTCACACTCTTGTCACTTGGTAAGTAACTACAGCTTTTTACCTCAGAAATGTGAATGAGATGAGGGATTCGGTCTTTGTTTTTGTTTTTTCCTTTTTATATATTTATGCGCTAAACTTCACTCCATTACTTCAGGGTTTGTGATTGTGGGTATCTGACTTCACTCCTTACCTGCTTGAAAGACCCAGTGACCAATGTTGCATCTAAGGCATTGGAAATCATTCAGTTTATCGGAAATCTCATTACGAAGTATGAGATTAGAATAGAGAAGAGTAAGCAGAAAACCAGGTCGGTATTGTTGTCTGTTATTATTGTTATTATTATTATTATTGTTATTATTATTATTATTATTATTATTATTATTATTATTTATTATTTATTATTTCTTTCTTTTTGAAAGATGTGTCATTATATTCATATATTTATATATTTATAAATTTATGTACTGGATAGCTAAATACATATGTACATTTATATTAGAAAAATACTGCTACTGTTTTCTTTGTTTCGTACTAGCTGATTTTGCTTTATTTCAGTGATGCTTCTTATACTGTGAGTTTAAGCCCAAAGAAGGAGACCATAAAGGAGGAGGTGACAAGTACAAAAGTGATGGTAGCAGGGATAGAAGTCACTCTGCCTGAAGATGCTAGTGCCTTAGACAAGATAGATCAAACCATTAATGACATACTCAGCTCTTCTGCCTTGTCAGCTGTGTCATTGTAAGTCATGACAGTTTCTTGTGCTTGAATTGCCGTCAATAATGTCAGTGATATTGTGTTATACAATTTTTTTTTTTTTTTTTGAAAAATAACCTAGTAGTTATAAAGCCTTCCCATTTTCTGTATCTTCCCATTGAAAATCTATAAATGTTCCAGGATCAAGAGGCCAATGGGTGAATACAGTAGCAGTCCCAGCCTGGATAATAGAGATATGAAGCTGAGTACTGACGATATCCCATCTGCTAATCCTGCCATTCCAGTTTCATCTTTGTTACAGTGCATTGATGATTTGTCCCACACCACCATCAAGCAAGGTACGTGAATCTTCCGAGAAAGAGAGTAGGGCAATAGGTTTTCCCCAAAAATCATTAGATCTATTTGCATTGCTTGAGTGCAAAATGGTATGTCTAGACTCATCTTTTCACAGGGTAGGCATCTGAGATCTCCTCCCACTCCTCTATTTCAATGATCTGACATAACTTGTTATATTTCAGATGATAGCCTTGACACAAGCAACTTCATCTCCTTGCTGGATGACATTCTCCTTGATGGAGGACAGAAGCCATTGTTGTCCGATGACCAAAGATTGCGAGACTGCTATTAAGTTTGGAAGTGTGCTCATTTGATTCATTTGTACATTATTTCATCCAGTGTGCATTTGTTGATTAAGAAAGAATCATTTTAACAATAATTAGAGTGTGTCTTTTATGTGAAAGTAGCACATGCACAGAAATAAACTTTGTGACACTAACAGGCACACTGTAAATAAATGAAAAATAGGTGGATAACTAGCTTCACTTATTTTCAACATGTGCCTTATTATGCCTTATTACGTAAATCTGCTTGTAGTCATGTGTAGTGCGAGCCTTAAAATGAACTTGAAACTAAATGTACTTCATTTAGTGGTTGTTTGGCACCCTCTTGTACATCAGTATAAATATAATTTTTATAAGCTTATTAAGTAGTCAGCAATTTTTGTGTATAGTGTAATATTTTTTTTCGGACTGACTTTGATATTAAGTTTCCTTTTTTGTTGTTATTGTTGTTTCTAAAAGGGATATGATGTACAAAAAATTTACTGATTTTTCTAGTGAGAAATAATGCAGAAATTGTTCTCTTATATTATCTATTTGCCTTAAGCCGTAAATGCTCAAATTGTAGAGATCTGGGTTATTGTATGTAGCTCATCATGTGTTCGATTAAGATTCAAAGGTTCATTATTTGTATGGTTCTTTTGATACAAGATTTTCATTCATCGATAGTATATTTTTGTGGGGCAATACAAATGTCTGTTTTAAGTATAAACAGTTTGACGTTAAATTAAAGTTTGGCCTTAGGAAACTTTAGAATGAGTGAGTGAGCGAGTGAGCGAGCGTGCTTGTGTGTGAATGCATGAGTGGATAAGGGTATGTGTATGTATGAAATGAATTCAAGTTGGTTTTTAGCTAGTCTGGCATCTTTGTGTCCTGGATTGAGCAGTATTAGTGAAACTGAAGAATCACAAAAAAATCATATCTTGGAATCATGTAATTCTGTACAAGTTAGATAATAAAGAAACAGAAACATTGAATAAAAATTCAAGGGGTATTTGAATAATGTAATGTACTGTATGAGATGCCACACAACTGCTTGCTTAGTGTTAGTCTGTTTGCACAATACTTTGTTTAATGTTATGCACAATTACTGCAACAATTGATTGTTTTA